TACGGTGCGGCAATGCACCGCAGCCCCAAACACACCTTATGTTATAAAAAAAAATGATCATATGATACATGCAATCAATCCTTCCAGAGTCAAAATTAGAAAAAATTGATTATAATACATATTCTAGAATTAAGTAGAATTAAGTTATAGCTGTCATCTATATTAATAGACAAAATAATTATTTGTATTTGTTAACTGTTTCATATGATCACCATGTATGTTAGCTCAATGGACAATAATCTTTGACTATATCCTACATGATTTCATCTTTTGTCTATTTCAGTTTTTTAAAATATAATGTTTTAAATTGGGCTTAATTCGAACTGAAAATTCCCTATTAAACTTGTTTTGAACACTCTTAGTATTTAGAAGAACAAATCAGAAACCCATTTGATTTGTTCTTTGGTTCACTAAATATTTTTGCTCACTTTATTAAATGCCATGAATGCCTTTTAGGCATTGCCCTTTCAAAATCTTCACATGGTGGAAAAAAAATAACCGAACTTAGAACTTCTATATACATGCAAAAATAGGATTATCAATGTAGACAGGATGAAGCGAGTTTCCTTTTTTTTACTTTAAGAGTAAAGCACAAAATGGGATGGCTGGTCACTAGGCATAATGAAAAGATTTCAAATGCTAGTTCTTATTCTTGCGATAGTGCTCTGGGGAGAGGATTGCCTTCGGTATTGATAGTCACTAATTTCTTGCTTCACAATTTACATGCTGGCATTGTTAAAAGATCAATATGATCACTACAAGCAAGCTTGTTTGTAGGTTTGTTGGCTTTGTAGTGCCCATTTTCCATGCCTCATTTTTGTCCATGAGTTTATTGCTGTGGTAGGATTGCACCCTACTCAAGGTTCTCAAGAATACTTTTTGTTGTTCAAATTTACATGACTTCAATAGAATTTGTACTAATGATGGAGGCATGGGCTAATTGTATCTACGATATCCTCATGACAAGGCCTACCAATTTCACCAAAGAAACATATGATGAATATTGTCTATATCAGAATTACAAGAGATAAAAAAAGGGGAAAATTGTAAGAAAGTTTTTCTTATTTCTCTTAATTTATTCTTTTGCAAAAATTCTCCACATTAAAAATTGCTTTAATTCAAGAAAGTCATTCCCAAAATTGTGCCAAAACTCGATCAAATTGATATCATTCATGTAGCATTAAAAATTCATTAAAAATTCTACAAAATTTTTTTATTTGAAATTTAGTGATTAATCTTATCACGGAAGACTCCACCTTTAGTTAAAATTTCAGCCCAAAATATAATATTTATAAATTTGAATTTTCTCAAATATTATGTTACCAGATTTCCAATTCCTCAAAATATTTTAGTAAATCAAAGAAAAGTCTTTAAAAAATAAATCTTTTGTTTAATCTATTTTAATTGAGCTATACGCCATAAAATTTTAGTGTAAATTCCTAAAAATGTTGTGCTAGCAATTGCATCTTTTGAGCTAAATTTTTTACTCTAAAAATTTCTAAAGAAAAAATTCTTTTACCAAAATATTTGCAAATTTGGTAGGGTGTCTCCCCTCACTAATACTTACTTTCAATAAAAAATCTCACATGAAAATTCTAGCATTCCAAACTAATGAATTTTCTTAAATTTTGTCAAGTGCCCGGTCTCTATTTTTCACCCAAACGTGTTAAAATATGCAAAATTCATTCTTGTTTATTGATTTTTTAAGACATTGAAAATTATGAATATTAAAATCAATTGTTGACTCTATTACTCCAAACGTCAATGTTTATTCTAATTCCTTTAGAAAGAGGATAAATTATTCTTTTGGGACGCGGATAAACTAATCACCCTTCAAGGCCAAATACTTGGAGTTGTTTTTCTAAACTTTTTCTTTGAAATGAGGTCAAACTAATCACTCTTTCAAGGCCAAAGCTTCATAAGTTTGTCAACCATGGGCTAAAAACACAAAATCCTAACTTCTCAATACACCCAAATTCTACTCAATGTGAAGCTAAACTAACCATCCTTCTAAAATTAAATAGCCAGTATCTCACTTATGAGAAGAGGTTAATCCCTTTGGGGCAAGTCTAAACTAATCACTGCTAAAATCAACATCCATACTCCAAGTTTTTTTAGCACACGAATAAAATATCACACTCTTGGATGAGGCTAACAGATGCCTCACTTAAATTAAAAACTCTACAAATATTGTATGAAGCCTAATTCCCAAAATTCTAGTTTCTTCAGAAGGAGGTTAAACCAGTTAGATCTTTTATCTTTGCTTTCGAGGTAAGTTTGACACATTTGGTCAACCCTAATATGACTTATGAAGATCAAAATCTGTACTGCAAGAATGAGGTTAAACCATCAGCATAATCTGATCTCACGTTTTCAGTTTGATAAGGTTGGGACTATTGGGTTCTCCCAAAATGCTATATCAAAATCAAAATTAAATTTTACCTTTTTGACTTGTGTTTTGCTAACATCATGATTGGATCTTTCGTATTCACTTCAATGTGGTCGGCTGGTTCAATTCTTTTTGGAAATGCTACTACCTTCAAAAAAAAAAACAGATCAAAAGGTGTCAATCCTCTTGAATGCCTCTAAAATGAGGTTAAACTACAATTACAGACTAAAAGATTGACGCAAATATCCTACTAGACCTAGAGCCCAAATTCAAATCATCAGTGATTGTACTATCGACCCAAAACATTTCCCCTACTTAGGTCAAACCTTAATATCCTAGTTGAGTCATTCAAATCCGCAAGCCACAAAATTCAGAGATCACAACCAACACAATACGTAGCTCTCAGAGTGTTGCACTATTAGTTGAAAATGATTGCTTTTATGGATTAATCAAATTAATATTCATCTTCAATAAAAAATAGATACAACTATCCCAAAAGGGTTGCCTAAATTTGGGAACATCAAGAATTAAAAATCCTCCAAAATAAAATACCAAATAAATCCTACATAATCACTTAGTATCAGTCTTAACAACTAAGGCTGATATGAGTTAATATTCTCAGATGTTTCTACATCATGATGATTGTTGTGTTGTTATCTTTCAATCAAACAGGATTGCAGTCTATCTGTATAATTAATTTTTTGGATTGTCCCCTTGTGAGCCTTCTCCCAATTCTCAAATAGCCAATGTGCTCAACGCCTATTTTTTTCATATATAATAAAATGCCTCACAAAATATATAAAAAATCTAAGATATGCCAAAAACAGCTAAAAGATGCCTCACATCATAAACAATTCTGCGAAAAGACAATGTAAAATATCAAAATTTCCTTGGTACACTATGCTGGCTGTGAGAGCCAAATTTAAATCGCACTCAAGCTTATGAAGTGTAATTTCGTATCGAACATTACCAAACCAACCCAGCTTAAACTTTTATGCCACTAAAGATAACCAATATTCTAACTAGATGGTTTAAAAAAAAATTCATATATCATAATATTATTACAATAAAAATGCTTTGGACAAGTTAATTAGTATTTTGGTAATAATATAAAAATTTCGCAATTTGTCTCATCCATCTAACTGTTCTCATCTTGGCAACACTTCCTTTTATGCTTCTCTTTTAAAGGCCAACATTCAATGCCATAGAGCATTGTAAGTAAGTCTCACCACCTGTAAGTCTCACCACCATCTTATAAAATTTTCCTTTCAGTTGAAACGGTACTTTTCTGTCACATCTTTTTTTCTCTAGAACCCTTCAAAGGATAGAAACGGTACTTTTCTATCACATCTTTTTTTCTCTAGAACCCTTCAAAGGATATCTCTTAGAACCTTATCGTAAGCTTTTTCTAAATCAATAAAATTTATATGTAGATCTTCATTATTCTCTTTGAACTTCTCCATCAAACCTCGCAATAAATGTATAGCTTTCATGGTAGACCTGCCCGGTATAAATCCAAATTGATTATGATAAATCTTTGTAATACAAAATTAAACATAGAATTTTCAAATTTATAAACAAAAAATACGAATTAAACATCCCGAATTATTAAATCAGTAAGCGAGTGGCACGTTTATAAATCCATCAATAGAACATTATAATAGCATGAAGAAATGTAATAAGTTTTCAGTGTTGAATTCAAGTAATTATCATTTGTAACTTGTAAGAAACATATTTAAAAAATACCTACTTATCAAGGATAAAAGAAAAGAATTCATGTGAGGAGAACCTGCAGTGTTGTGGATACGGAGGGATGGAAAACGACAGTCAGCATGCTGGAAAACTATAGCAATGGGGATTGATATGGCTAGAGGGAGGAAGAGCTTTGGATTGCCGCCTTTAGGCTGCTGCCAAAAAGATATGAATGCTTCTAGCAGTTTAAACCGCAAAAATGATATAGCAATGGCTATAACATATAAAATGACTGGTAAAACTGTTGCTATATTGGAGCGGTTATAGCAATTGCTATATCATCACAAAAGTTTAAACCTACATCGTTGCATTAGTTTTAACTGTTTCAATTATCACTAAAAATTAAAAAAAAAACTGTTTAAATTATCAATGTTTATAACTGCTGCTATTTTTTATCTCGTGGAATGCATTTGTTTTCAAACTGTTGGATGTAAGTGCTGTCTTACTTGTGCAATTGTAATAGTGGTACACATCATAAAAATTTACAACTTAAGTTTGTAGTCATAATGTTTTGGATGCTGGTACATCTTGGGATGCTAGACCTGATCCTTATTTTTGCGATTGTAAAGAGTGATGCCTAGCTTCTGTTGTATTGCATTCTCTTCCTTGCACTTATGAAAGGACCATATTGGATAGCTGACATTCTACAATTTTCCTTTTAGCTGTTGCTTCAAGCTTGGTTCAAGTGGAATGTGGGCCTTCATTCTTCTTTCTTTAGTTTGCAACATTGAAAAGTTTACTTTGATATTAGCATTTGTATATACATTTTCTTAAGTCACTTCCAAATGCTTTATGAATAATATGATGCGCTTGATATCATTTGGTTCATTCTATAATGGATCTTGCTTTTTCTTAATAGCTGAAAAGTTTAGGGAATTGGTTGGAGAAGAAGTTTCATCCAAAAGTGGCAAATTCACATTTTTGAACTGCTTTGATATGGGCTCTGGTACCTTTTCATGTATTGGAAAAGAAGGAATTAAGCTCTACGTCTACAACCTTCGAAGTAAACATGTTGAAAATGTAAGACAACAGGCGATTGAAGTTGCTTTAACTAATGCACTACAAGAAGGGCTAAGTGCCAGTGATGCAGCGAAGCAGGCACAGAAGTCAGGTCAGAAAGCTGCAAAGTTAGCTTCACGGCAAGCCAAACGTATCGTAGGTCCTATTCTATCCTCTGCCTGGGATTTCTTTGAAGCTGTGTATTATGGTGGCACTATGATGGAAGGAGTTCTTAGAGGGGTTGGCACCTTGTTTGGGACATACGCAGGTGGCTATCATGGTGAAGAAATTTTTGGAAAGTTGGGTTACCTGCTTGGAAGCCACTTGGGTAGTTGGGTTGGAGGGAGAATAGGCTTGATGGTTTATGATGTGTGCAACGGGGTTGCTCTCATTCTTCAGTTTTTCACATTTGAAGGAACTACTAGTAGTGATCTTAGTGCCAATGAAGATGATGTTAAAGATTCATACATCAATGAACAGAGCACTGATTTCGAAGATGCATCCGCTGTTGATCAGAACCCCGAATCATTCCGTGAGGACAGTGAGTACCGTGAAATTTCTAATGAGAACTCTGAGGACTCCAATGGCTGGGGATTCCTTTCCGGAAGATAACACAGATAGAAGAAACATTTATTTTTAACCGTTGAAGCTGAGCCCTAAGATGCTAGATTGCTAAATTCTGGTTATTTGTCTGTTAGGAAATGGGAAGATTTAGCAGATTCATGGGTATCGTTATTTGAGACAGTTAATTCACCGTCCAGAGTGATATGAGCACTTTTTGTCCTTTTTTCTGCATCAATTGCTTGCAATCTTAGCGTTACACCGGAAGTTTTTCAGCACTGCCATTAAACATATAGTAGATTGCAATCTTTGATAATTTACTACCCATGGTGAAATAATTGGAATTTTCTTGGTATTTTATAGACGAGAGGTTAATTTTAAGCTGTTTACAAAATTTTTAGTTTGTTTTTAGTGCTGAGAAAAATAGTTGGAGAGCTGAGATGAATAGTGATTACTTTGACTGCTCTCTGTTCATAATTCATTTTGATGTTTGACTAGGTTGTCTTTGATTTAATAGAGGGGCAGAATTTTCATTTTCACATGATTTCATTTGATTTATGACTAAATTAGGCAACATGAAGTCATTTATTGATGTGATATGTGTCAGAAATCTTCCATCTTATCTCATACAAGATTGTTTATGATTATGAACCATCTTTGTAAACGATTCATGATAAGGCTTTTTAAATATTATGGTATACATGCCATGTTTGGTGTAACGTCTGTTATATTATGAAGATTGTATGGAGTTTGCATTGATTTGTTTGAAATGTTTATATATATGATGGAATGAATGTGTGGATTGACTACGAAATGCAATGTGAAGATCGATATAACAACATATGAAACTAACAAATTATATGAATATAGTTTTTTTTATGTGGTTCGGTTAAGTTATTTATTACTAACAGGAATCTTTGCACATAATGAAAGCAAGTACTATATTTTTTAGAGGTGGGAAAATCTTTGCATCACCTTTTATCTTCAGAGAACCTATCTTGTATATAGGCACTTCTTGGTCTCCATGTTCTCCACAAGAACCCCTTTCTGAGTATCCACAAAAATACAACTGCACACAAACAAAATAAAAGAGAAATATTACAAAATGAACAGGTTTTTATACATTATATGAGACAGAAATCAAGCTCAATACAAACTCAAAATATCAAAAAATCTTTCATGATCAAGCAAGGCTTTATTTTCTCTTTTTTCTAGATCTCTATTTATTTGAAAATTTCTTTGTAAAAAACCTCAATGGATGTTGAAAAGTAAGGGTTGCTCAAGAGGATGCAACAATAGATGCTCTTTTGTTATGAACTCAAGGAGATTTATATATTAGGTAGTTAAGATTTATATTTGGATTTCATTAAGAGGATTCAACAGTAGAAGCACTTCTCTTGTGTCTTAAATATATTTATATATTAGGTAGTTAAGATTTGTATCTTGTAAGTCAATGTAATGACAAAAAAATTATATTCTTTTTTTTTCTTGTTTCTCGATGCTCAAATATCACCAAAATTCCTAAATTTGTAAGTTCAATTTGAATTTAAACAGTTGGAAACCATTCAACTTTTTTTTATATATAATTTTGAACTTTCTGATGATCTGTAAATATTAATGAAACCAACTAATCTTATTTATTTTAATTGTTCTGTCCAACTAATTTAAAATGTATGGTAGATCCCGATTCTCTTTATAGATGGCATATTGCGATGTAAGCAATTATATGCTTAATTTTCTTAATAATGATTCTTATTTTGCAACAAAGCTAAAAACTTGATCACAAGCAAAAACTAGGTAAATTCTCAACTTCAAAGTAAATAAGAATACAGTTATAATATTTAAATATGAGATACTACGCACATATGTGTATCGTTATCAAGTAATATAAGACTTTTTTGTTAAGCCCAGAATATCGAACTCATAGGGAAAACTATAATATGCAACTTACAAAATAAGAGAAATTAGATAACAAAATTCTATTTAGCAAAATATTCCTCTTAAACTGTAGATACTAAAATAAAAATGAAAGTTCAATTCTTTTTGTAAATTTTGATAAATTGAAAATAAAGTAAGCAACAAACTAACTTAACTAAATACTTGCAAGATGAAGGTAATATGAATAAAATATATTTTTCCTTATCATGAAACAGTAACAAGTATAGGAGTTCTGTTGTGGAAGTATTCTAATTATGTTTTACCAAATAGGAGCAATACTATTCTTTACCTTTACTAGAGATGTTATAAAGAACATTGGCTAATCGATAGTTTGAATAGTATTGAAGACAAGTTAGGTAAGGAAGATACTAGCTCTCACTCTAGAATTCCCTCTTCTCCCTCCACCTGGGGGCTAACATCTCGTATCAAAACCTAAAACTATAAATCAAATTGGGTGTTTTAGCATGTCACTCTAATGTCCTCTAATTAGAAACTATTCAAAGTTTATTTCCCTATTTATTTGCACTCAACCCCATGAACTACATTCTCATCCATGAAATCAAATGTGATTCTTACCATTTGTTGACTGAGACAATACCATCTCGGATCTTGCATTTTCTCATAGCAGATACTAACATCTTAATTGGCCAAATGAAGAAGTAAATGAAGTACAAAGTTTAAAATCATCACAACTTCTTCCAAACTTAAAGTCTAATACTTCACAAAAATTCTCTTCAATACTTAATCACTTATCATTTTAAGGAAAAAAATAAAGAAAACTACTCAGAATTCATTGAGAAAATAAAACCACACTTGAGTTTGAAAGTAGAAATCATGCACTCAAACAAAAAGTCTAAATTAAAACCAAATATAGTCACAAAGATAAACACTTATCTCAAATCTTCACCACCAAATGTCTTGAAATTTCTTTGAATCTCTTCCTTCACTCACATAATACAAACTAACTCAAAATAAAAAGAAAAAGTGGTCTGCGGCGGCAATGGGTGGCTGCGGCGGCGGCGTATGGTGGTTACTTTGAATGGATGGATGATGATTGGTGGTGGTCTGCGACGGCAATGGGTGGCTGCGACGGCGGCGTATGGTGGTTACTTTGAATGGATGGATGGTGATTGGTGATTGGTCTCTTCTTTGATGATCCAAGTTTTCTTTAATAAAAATCCAAGAGGTGCCTTGGTGTCTCTTCAAAATTTGTCTTCATTCAATGAATCCTCTAGAAGTTGCCTCCTTTCAAAAGCCAATTGAATGAATTTTCGTGTCCATTAACCATTTCCCACGTTTTTACCAAGGGTTGCTTCAAACTGGTGACTTTCCTTTTCACCTCAATGAAAAAGAATATCTTATTGCTTATCAAGTAACTACTTTTGACACTCAAGCGCGGGGTACTTGGCCTTAGGTGCTGCTCTCTCTGTTTAACTGGAGCGTAAGTGCCAGTTCTGAGCACTTAGGCGTCTCAGTTCAATTTTGCACATTTTTCATTTTTGCTCCAAATTTGATCCTTTTTCACTTCATTCACCACTTTTCATTCATTTGATTGTACATGAAAGAAAAACACATAAAATCTTCCATTAAAGTGAACTTTCATTAAAGCGGAATATCTCAAACATAGGTATAAAAATGTGTACATACACTATATATTTTTGGCATATCAGTTACCTCCTCCAAGGGATACAAATTTAAAAGGTTACTTGTTCTCAAGTGACACTCCAATTCCTTAAAAACTAAATAAGTAGATTATGTATATGAGTTTTTTTAGAAGTTTCTAAATTTTTTATGCAGAAATATAGTAGTCTAATTTAGAAAAAAAAACATTAGGGAATGAGACCAACTTAGTGTTTAGAAATTTTTAATGTAAAGAAATATGAAAATATGAGCTCTTATTTAATTCAGAAATATTGTAAATTCTCCAAATATAGAGTTTAGGCATTCTATCTTCTCCACTTTATTTTTATCAAGCATAATATTTTTATCAAGCATACAAGCATAATTTTACTTACTATATTATATCCTTAAGCTTAAGAGTTTCTCAAGTCTTATACTTTAAAAGGATCAGAAGTGGAACCAATTTTTGATTAGGCATTGATCATCAAGCTTTTCCTCCCTTTTTCAACATTTTTTGTCAGACAATGATTACTATATCTGGATAGGCCTTTAATGATTTTGAATTCCACTCTTTCTTTCCTAAAGCAAAGAGTTGATATATTTCCTTTACTTTAAAACATAATAATAGTTTTTTTTTAAAATTAATTTTAATAAAAGAAATTTAAGTTTTGAAAATAAAAGTCTAATTCTTCCTTTTTCCAGAAATACAATTTCTCCTATTAAAGATAGTTATACAATATTTATCATTTCCACACTAAAAATTTTATTAAGTTTTTCTTCATTTTTCTTCATTACTATAAGTTTTAACTAAATTCTCTTACTCATTTCTATATTCAAAATTTTATTTCCCTAATAAGTTCATATACTTGATCATTTTTCTTCAAATCAAAATCAAATTTATTTGAAGTAAATTTGATAACAAATAAGTTTCAAGTTTTTAGAAAATTTTTCATCCCCACCCCTTCCGACTTAAATTTTTAATAAGATAAAACATTTTAGCATCATATATAAATAGGCAGGAATGAAAACTAAAAATAACACACTAGCATGAATTTTTACATCATAAATACACAAGTACAAAAATTAAAAACATGAGTAAAAATTAAATTTTTGATCAAATTTTAACTTTCTTTAACATATAGAGATTCATTAGACTTCTATGTAGTGGAGGATAATATAAAAGCAAACATATACACTAACAAACATACACAACTGCAACATAGAGAAAATCTCTGGTAGTAAATTGAAAATTTTAAACATTAAGTTTTTAAGTTAAAGTTAGAAATATTCTAAGACTTCCCACGATTTAGAATTAAGTTTAATACAAACTAACTAAATACTCTAAACAACACAGTTAACACAATTACTACCACAAAAATAAAACATAAATTTTAATAAAAACATAAATACATTACAGCAGTTTCTACAGAACAAAACACAAACAAACTAACAGTCTCAAAAAATACAACTCAAAACAAAATAAAAGTACAATATAAATGTGCCAAAAACAATTCACAATAATACATAAAAAAATTAAATTAAACTAAACTATAGAAGCAGTCTAATCATCTTCCTCCTCATCATCAATTTCATTACTGTACTAGGCAGTTGCAGGCTCATATGATGGATAGTTTGGATATTGAGGGAAAACTACACTCTAGTTACCTCTCATGAGGCTTTCCATTGATGAGTGGAATTTTTCATGATAATCACTATGTCTCCTCATGTATCCATCTATATGTTCTGTAAAATTTTCTAAATTTAATACCTTATCAGTGGTATATTTGATATTGTCCAATATCCTATGCAATAGTTGTGACAATAGTTGTGACTGAGAATTAGATCCAGAAGTTTGGCCTTGTGATGTAGAAGCACATGAAGTGGCAGCTCAAGATGTAGAGATAGCTGAACTACTAGAAAATCCACCTCTCCAGCCAAAAATGGAATGATG